CCCTATTGGTGGGGCATACCGCAGAAGGAAATGTGGGGAAGCGACAATCGTAGCGAAGAGCCGCGCACCATACCTATAAACCCAATCCATCTTAGCGCTTACTAAGCCCATTGTCGATGTATCTCTCTCGATTCATCTGTATAACTGTTGGTCACCCTAATCCATCTCTTCCTATCTATAGGTTGCTTCGGAATGAAGTACGAACTTTTCATATCGCAATTACCTACCCTGGGGCATGACCCGTCCACTGCGGATACATGTACCCCATTTCACTCGTCATCCGCTACTCAGTTCCATCCATTGAATGCTTACCACAACTGGGAGGTGCGGATTCTGTGCCGCTCAAGACTTTGAGTGGGAAACAGACCTAGCAAGACCCTCAATGTGGTTTTTAATCTTTTACCCTGTTTTTACACAGCATTCTCTAGAAATAAAACAAAAAATTGAATGACGAAAAGAAAAAGAAATGAGGAGAGGTAGAAATGAACGTTCAGATTCCTTGCGCCTTTACTACAGCCAATTACAGCTCTTCGATTATGGTGCATATTGTCCAACAGCGAAACCACTGACTGGCGAACTTCTAGAGTTTGTCTCTGACCCAAAATCAAAAGGCACCATTCTTGTTGCTTTTGGTGAGTTTGCTTCTCCGAGTTGACAGAGTAAAGGCGTAGCAAAAAAAATAGCTAAAAAGTGAAGTCTTTGAAGTTATTCGAGCCCCTTTCAAACAAGCCCCCATTCGTCTTCTATTAGAGGTAAAAGGGCGGTTTTCAGTGCTGTTCAGCTTGTGCAGTCGACTAGGTAGCTTACAGATGTTCAGCTAAGGTTTTTATGTTTTCAACTCAAGGAAGATGAAAGGAAACAGAGCTACCTGGGTGCTCTGTTCTTCTGTCTGAGTGTTTTCATTCAGTTTTTTTTTATTATGTTCCACGGTCTTATGCTCTTCACGGAGCCTTACAAAGTTAAATTCGAGTGTCGAGGTGTAGCGGCGTTCTGAGTGCCCGCTCTTCACCATTCTGTCCCGACAACGACTCTGTTAACTTCGACTCAATTTTCATAGTAATAATTTTATGCACTCTTGATCATTTTGAGCAGGAACCCTTGAAAAATGCGTGACCCTGATCGTTTCAAGTTTTGTTTTCCACAAGTGCAACATCGTTCGTGTACCAACTACTCAAATTAGGAATTAATGCATTCAGGTACGGTAATCCAGTGGCGAAGTGTTCCGAAGGAGAAATTCGAGGCCGTGCTCGATACACTTAACTCGCTGTCCGATTACCGTATCGTCTGGGCTTACAATGGCAAGCCGATGACTATGAAACCACATATATACGCCTCAAAAATGGGTTCCTCAGGTCGATGTGCTCTTCGAACAACCGCACAGTGCTCCTCTTCAAAGCGCAAACGGTGGGCTCAAAATGGTCTGTGCTTACTTGTTGAGAAAGTGTGCTCAGTTCTGAATGGCTGAACAAATAACAACTGAATATCAAGCATTCGCTATAGATAGAGAATCTATATGGCGCATCATCTCTACTATCTTAAGATTGTCTCAATCATCGTATGGGTCGCGTATTTTGAAGGCATAAGGGCACGATTATTCGGTACTTGGTCTGAAATGGTAGCAGGCGTGCCATATAGTGGGAACACGGCGTGAGAACTAAGTGGAACGACAAAAATCTGCGAAGAAAGCCTTTGTACCAAAAGGCTCAGAAAGTAATTTCGGACGAGTTCCTCGTTGGCAGCTGAGCATCAGAATCGGTCGGACGTTTGTGGGCGGGAGGGCGCGGTTGGCATCTTGGTCGGGTGTTAAGCTTGATAGGGCGCTGTAAGGGTATTCTCGCAGGGGGCGTCACTCCCGCTCAAGGTGCCAAATTCTGTCCTCGTTGGCGTATTAATCCTGCACGTCTTAAGGAATTTGTCGTGTCACTTGCCTTCAAAGTGCGATCAATCATGACAGGGAACTTCTAAAATGTATAAAGTAACCTGTTGCGGGATCGCAAAGGCCATGGTAGCATTCTGAATTCAGAAAACTGGGCAGGCAACACCAACCGAAGTGGTTTAGGGGACAATGCCGGGCCTAGGTTGTCCCTTAGTCGGTCGTCATGATGTCGTTGTGCTCAGGGCTGACCCCCCTCCCCCCGCTTTTCAGTGCACTACAGCCCTTTCGCATTTGAATTTTAACAACCTTATGCTCATCTGCAGGGTACACAATGCTTTTCGTCATTTCTGCACTTTCCGCACTTCTGCAATTTCTGCATTTCTTCATGGTCGCAAGCTATGAACGCCGGTCTCAGATCGCTGTGATCATATAGGTTCTTCCGGAGAAGGAAAAAACGTGACTCTATACTTCATTCAAAATTTACGTGACATGCGTTCCTCGTAAGGTTTCTTAATTTGAGGCAAAAGCCATCCTGCCTGTTGCTGAGCAAGAACAATGCCGAAAAGAAATATTTACTAAGAGAAGCGCAGCCGCCGCCAAGTTCAAATAAATTGTAGCCAGCCTACCTGCCAATCTCCGGGTTTAAGTCCTATAGCCCTATATACCGAACAAAATAGGGGAAAATTAGCAGCGTAACTGTACATTGAGAGCATGCCTAAGATGCCGCTTTCCGTGAGATACTCCCCTTTGAACACCAGTCGGCCCCTGACACAACGGCCAGCGGGCCAATTAAACTAAACTTTTGCCCAAAATTGGCATAATCCGTCGCATCAGCAAGCCTACGAAGTAGCCCCACGTCCCAAATGAATAAAGGCACCTATCTGCCCTCCAGGGGCATGAGGGGGGAACATGTGAGATTGGACTTCAAGCTGTTCACTAGTAACGCCGAGATTCGGGATGGGTCTGAACAAGGCCACCGCATCGATATATATATATCTGGCACCATGTCACTTTAAGTCTAGTGGAAAAAGCACATCCCAATATTAAGCATCGTTGAAACATCAATCACATCATGAAATGCAGTGGGAGACAGTTGCTGACAGTCAAAATAAATGGATGCAGATCAATCACGATTTCAGCTTGAAGGAGGCAACGTGCTCGTCGGTGCCATCCGTTGTCATGCCGATGTTTGCCCGAGCATAAAGTTGAGGAAATTGGATGGATTGCCCAAAGAATAAGGTGAAAGTGAGTGGTTTACCGGCGCTAAAAAGAACCCTTTCGTAGAAATATTAATTATCACAGGGCAAAAGGCTAATCTCGCAAGTCGCTGCTTACTCTCGTGCCGACTCTGCTCCCTTATGGATACATGTGATATCTGCGCAATCCAGGAGGGCAATGGTAGGAGACGTGGAAAATACACCAGGTATCATTTCGACCATTGGTGGTTTTCTAGACCGACCTCTATCGGTAGAAACTGCAGCCGCTGGTAGGCTCAGCCACGCCTCCTGATACCCCCCCGTCGGACTGCTACCTGCATGACTCTTCCTCTTCTGCGCCTGGTCTTTCGAAGTGGCAGCTGGATCTCTTTTGCCCTCAAATATGAAGTAGCATAAGCTATTAGGTTGTCCGGAAAGTTCTCAGCGTTTTGTGTTACTATTTTTTGTACATTCATTGCTGATTAAAAACTCATTCTCCCTTGCGTCTCAGTAGTACATCCTGAAGAGAATTTTGCTATCTGATGGTATAATTGCCGTTTCACCATTGCTTGATAAACCCCCTTTTCCCAAGACTTTTTGAAGCATGTCAAAAGAGCAACTTCGGACGATATTTTTCTTCGACTAAAAATTGGGTCAATCCGCAATCGAGACAGCTCAACAAATTAACCAGGTGTGGGGGCCCAATAGTGCTAGAGAAAGCACTGTGCGGCAATGGTTCAACAAATTTCGTTCTGGAGATTTCAGCCTTGAAGATGAACCTCATAGCGGTCGACCTAAAGCAATATCTGACGAGGATTTTTTTGGAGGCTGACCCATCCCAAACAGTTCGAGAGATTGCAGAAAAGCTAGGCGTTGGCAAATCCACTGTTGCAGATGGTCTGGAACGCATTGGGAAGGTGAAAAAACTCGACAAGTGGGTGCCCCACAAGTGAGTGACCGGCAGAAATTGGCACGTCTCGAGGTTTCCTCTTCACTGCTTTTGCGCAACAGAAACGACCCGTTTTTGGACCGAATTGTCACCTGTGATGAAAAGTGGATCATGTATGATAACAGGAGACGTTACGGACAGTAGTTGGACGCCGACGAACCACCGAGGCAATTTCCAAAGCCGAATCTTCACCAAAAAAAGGTTATGGTCACAGTGTGGTGGTCATCGGCTGGTGTGATCCACTATAACTTTTTGTCACCAGGCCAAACCATCACAGCAGAGTCCTACTGTGAAGAAATCGACGAAATGTACCGAAAATTGCGTCAGCTGCAGCCAGCACTTGTCAACAGAAAGGGTCCGATTCTAACGCCCGCCCACACGTTTCACAAATCACTATCCATAAATTGAACGAATTGGGGGTTGAAGTTCTACCTCAACCGCCATATTCTCCAGACCTTTCACCAACCGACTATCACCTTTTCAGACTTCCTTGCTGGAAAATACTTCATCAATCAGGACCAGGCAAAAAAGGCCTACATGGACTTCGTGGCATTCTCTGCCACCCAGTTTTTTCTTCGATGGGATTTCTTGAATGGTTCACATTGGCAAAAGTGTGCTGATTCGAATGGTGCCTATTTCGATTAAATCCGATGAGTATTAAAAAAGTTACGATCGTTTAAAGTGAAACACTCAAAACGCTGAGAACTTTCCGGACAACCTAATAGTAATATTATATAATCAAGGGAATGATTCACCTCGAATGTTTTTTCAAATTTTACCATTTTCAGGGATACGCTGAACTCTTCAGCAAGCATGATCTGAATGCAGAGAACCTGCTGAACAGTTATGAAGCGTGTTCTCGAAAGTAAAAGGTATGTTTCTTTTTTTCATAGCATTGCCCCCCTCTGTGACAAACCTTAGCGCTCATATCGCCATGACTGTATTCTCACCAGGCACCAGGGCACCAGGCAACGTATTCGGCTGCTGGGGAAGGGAGGGGGTCGTATTTGGTAGTTGTTGAGAAAGGAGGAGGTGTCGTATGTGGCTTCGAGAGAAAGCCACCGCACTGGGGAAAAGACTTTTTCCGATTATTGTTTTTTCGCGGTTTTTTCCCTTTCACAGCGCTTGGCGGAAAATTTTTGAGTGAAGAACGGGAAAATGTGGGGAAACTGGTAAGGTTTGGGAAGGGGGTTGTACCGAGAGCCCTCCATTCTGACATCACTTTCGCACATCATGATGATGTACCCTGATTAGGAATAGCGCGGAGCCAGACAGTCTCATTCAAACGTTCAGCACAAATTCTTTGAGACTGAGTCTTTGAGAGCATTTGTGATAGGCTTTTGGAAACATTATTCCATACTGTGGAAAAGTGACTCGCGCAAAACACTGATCCCTGTTGCCTTGTGTAAGGCCAAAAGGCCCCACGTCCGGGCTCAAAATGATGAAATTGCTAAACTGCATTTGTGCGTGCATAAACTCAAGAAGGGGCATAATCGGAACAAGTTCTCACTTCTTGGTGTCAGCTCTCCCTGCTTATCACCTCAGTCTCAACTTTTGAAATGGAGGGAATTAGCAGCGGAACAAACGTACCACCAGGTGGCAGGTAAAACGAAAGGGTGCGGCGCCATGGTTGTTGTGCAAGCGTGTGCGTCGCTTTCCTCACGTATTTTTGAGCTGCGAAACTAACACATCCCCAACGCTTGCGGGCATGACTTCTGTCCAAAGGAGGCGTCTGAAAATCAAATGCGATTATTTGATACTCGGTCCAAAATACCACCAGAGGTACCATATAAAGAGAGAATGACGAAGAAGCGGAGTGAAACGGAGGGAAACCTGCAAAAAATCCTTTATTCTACACGACTAAGAAAGCTATTCCCGGACAAGTTGCCCCGTCGGCATCGTGCCGGTAACCGCTGCGATAGGTACGGCTGCATGTATGTACCCATGTATCCATGCAGCACCGCCGCCGCTTTAAATATACCCCTGCTCTTCATATTGTTCGCAACCAAAGCGAGCGGTAGGAGCATCAGCACTGGTCCGACTCTTGTGGGCGAGCGACTGCTGTGGGCGTCCGGGTCGGTAGTTGCAGCTTGGGTCCTACACGTCTTAGGCATTTACCGTGTCACATGCCCCTAAAATGAGTACTTTACTTGTTAAAACTGATTCCTGCTCTTTCAACTTCTGGTAAGGAACTATTTGTCAAAAAAAAGGTATACTCATGTTTGTTTGTAAGGGAAAACTTTATTGAAGCGCATATATATTTCATGCCAAAAATGCTGTGGATTACGACAAGTTTATTTGGCAGAACAACTAGAAATGTCAAAACCGCCCCAAACAAGGCGACGACCACATTGAAGGCACACCTTGATCCATAAAATCCTCGCCATATTTCCATAGATCCATTATAGTGAGATCCCTAAACGCCATGCCAACAATGGCTGGCG